TTCGAAACTCACTGAACCCCTTTATACTCAGTCACCTTGAATAGGATGTTCCACTGCACCAGAGATCTTTTTAAATCATTTCTATTTCAAGGTGTTCAATTTCGAAACCCATCGTCGTAGAATCTTCCGTTTATTTACATAACTATTGTTGGTGTCCTCCAGATTTTCTGGGTCTGTTTAAAAAAAATATTTGTTTATCCGTCGGATAAGTTGACGCATTCCCCATCACCACTCGGTGATCTAGGGGACGCGGTGCTCGTCTAAGAATCAAGTACATTTATCGTCTCTGTGCTTCTACTCCGTTTTCTCAACATACCACTCCCTCCACCTGCCTCTCATTATCTCCTTATTTTACCAGGTGAGACCGTTACCCCCGAATCGATTGCCTACTTGGACAAAGGAGTAGTGTTCATCGGATCCACGTTGGGTGATTCTCAATTGATTCGACTAAATCCGGATCCGGATCCGGAGAGAAATAGTTATATCACAGTTCTGGAGAATTTCGCAAATATTGCACCCATCGTGGATATGGTCTTGTTGGAGAACAAGGGTCAAAATCAGTTGATCACGTGTTCCGGTGCTTACAAAGAGGGTAGTTTGCGTCTAATCCACAACGGGATTGGGATTCATGAATTGGCAACAATTGATCAGGATTTAATTAAAGGTGCGTGTTTTTTACGCGGATCTTGAGTCCCGATTTGAGGTATCCGTATTACAGTTTGTCCTTTGTGTGTGTGTGTGTGTGTGTGTGTTGGTGGTTAAGGCTGATCGATGAAGATTCTTGTTGTGTTTCATGGTTCACGAGTATCATTGTCACGTCGTTCAGCTAACCTTCTTCACGAATATCTTATCGCTCGTTTATCTTGTCGAGAGTTAATATCCTATCTTTCGTTCACAGGTGCTTGGTGCTTTCCCCTTCAGTCCGATCGCTATGACGATACCATTGTGGTTTCTATGGTCGGTCAGACACAGTGAGTTTTTGATAATCTCAACTCTATGTGAGGTGTAAATGTGAATCCCGTCAGAACGATTCCTGTTGCCGGCTCTGTGTTCTCTAATAAGCATGTGCCTCTACGTGTGGGTAAGCTGGTATGGGCTGTCTCGTTAACTGAAAGGCTCTCCGTAGCACACGGTATACATTAGCTAATACGTGATTCACTTCGTCGGATAGGGAGTTCCCATTCAGTCACTGATTAGCACTGCCTATCCCTTCAAGCTTGGGCAGAGCAGTTTCAGTTTCAGTTTGAACAACCATTAACCATGCATATTCGTGCGACCGTTTTGGTTGCTGTCTTTTGGCTGCCCATTTGGATGAATAATAGGAGAAGGACAGGAAAGCTGAAGGTAGAAGATTGAGAACTTCAGTAAACTGTGGCTGCAAAGAAATTGAGAAAATGCAAGAACCCTAGTATTTACGACATCCAACCATATTCAAG